CATTTCCTAAAGGTAGATAAATCAATGGATGGATAGATAGATGATAGATTAGATAGATAGATGATAGATAGGTGATAGATAGATAGATAGATAGATAGATAGCAGATAGACATATATCTATCTCTGTATATTTCTCCTACACAGTGCTTAAGAATCCTAAATAAATGTTAACTGAATAAATGAATGAACAAGCACTTTAAATAGGAAGAGTGCTAGAAAAATTTTAGAGGCAAAAAATATCAAGATCAGGTGCCAAAAAATGTATTACCACTAATATAACCAAAGCAAGAATACCAAAAACAAAAATAACAAGAAAAATTAAAATTGCCATTATTTGGTACAAAAAATATTGCATACCTAGAAAATACAAATAAGTAGACTGAAAAACTCTATAAGTAAAAATTTGGACCTTTATAAGTAACAAGTTCTTTAATATAGATGACTATAAAATAAACAAAAACCATAAACAACCAATAAATTAATCAGTAGATATAATGGGAAAAAATTGTTCATTGATAATGTCAAAATGTTCTAAAAAACTGAGAGTAATGAGAGGGAAGGAAGGAACGGGGGTAACAGGGAAAAGAAGGGGGAAGGTCACTATCAAGGAGCATGTATAAAGGACCCATGGACAAAGCCAAAGCAGGGAAGGATTGAGGGTGGGAGGTCGTGGGGTGTAGCCGGGGAAAGTGGTGGCAGGAAAATGGAGACAAATGCATTTGAACAATTTAAAAAAATCATTAAATTGTAAAAAAAAAAAAAATTGCTAAAATTAAAAACCAACCATACCAAAAATAAAAAGTTATAAAATAGTAGGAGGTTATACTTATAGGGCATATCTGAAAAAAACTGTAATACAGAGAAATCCAAAACTTGATTAATTTTTTGGTATGGGAAACCTATTATAAAGAACATGTTTCTTCTCAAATTACTTCATAGGTTTAATATGCCAATTTAAAAATCTTAAAAGTATTAGATTATATCAAATTAATCAAAAATGCTTACCTTTATCTGGAAGAATAAGCAACTGAGAAATATTTAAAAAATTTTTTTGAGTAATAAGTATGATGAGAGGAAAACCTCCTTTTCATATATTAAAATGTTTTATTATCTAAATCAGTTAAAGTGTATTACTTGTATGAGAAGCAACACCTCAATGAAAGAGACAAGTTTTTCTAACACAGACCATGTTATAAGATTTTAGTATGTCAGTAAGAAAATATGACCCACCAATGGCGAAAAGATACGTTATTCAATAAATGATGTCGGGTAATTGGCTGCTAGGAAAAAGACAACATCATGTTAAATTTAACTCTCACCAAAAATCAAAATGAATTTGAAAGAGAGTAAATCTTTGTGTGTTTCATGGCCTGGTTTCCCTTTAAAAACAAGAAAGAATTTTGCCTTCTTGGGTCACTTACCCAATTTCTAATGGCCAGTGGGACCTACTACCCCATGGGAGACATTTATATTTTCTCCGCAATTTATAAAAATTCAAAGAGGTATTCCCATAAACAAAACCTGAAGTTTAGACTAGTAGGCTACTTTATGTAACTTTACTACCCAGTTCAACAAATTCAATTAAAGTAGCATATAACATAATCCCTTGTCATTAGGAAAGATCTTATTCACATAACAATTTTGTAGATAATAGTAGTTTATCATTTGGAGCAAGCCAGCTGGTTCTTTGTTCCCACAATCCTCATCTCTGTACATGTATCAGGAAAAAACTCAGTTTAATTAGAAAGCCCATCCTCACTCTAAACTCTGGGAAGAATTTAGTCCCTATCTAGGGAATTTTAAGGTATATTTCTTCAATACTTCTGGGTCAGCATCCAGAGAACTTTGTTACAAATGTCCAGGTCAGAGGATAACTATCATTAACCATTTGGAGTACTGATTTCTTTTTTTTTTTCCCCCTAATCTTGGTCACTAAAAGAAATGTATCATGATTTCATGACAATACTTAATAATTAATTGATGAGTTTATGACATTGGCTAGAAATATCACCATTTTGCTTTCAAAGTTTGGGCTTGAATTATATATAATTTACAAAAAAAATTAATGTGAAGCCATTCAAAAATCTTCAAAATTAAGTCAGTTGAAAGAAAAGGCCTACTCTACTCAGTGTTTCATCATCATGGGTTCTTTTCCAAGAAGTTTATTGAAGTCTGATTATTTCAATAGCACTTTATAAAGATTACTGTGATCATTTCAAAGTCCTCTTATAAAATGGGCTACCTAGTAGGTAACATTTAAGAGAAGATATTTTTAAAATGAGGATTAACTGGACTACAAATTGTTTTACAAAATTATATTAAGGTAAGTTAAAATATTTTGTTTACTATAAAGCTAAGACTTTATACAGAAGACAGTTGAAGGATACAAAGAGGGGAGGTAAGGATTACTGTTCCCAATGCTGGGTTCCGTACTATTCTTACAACCTCCAGGTACCCAGGAAAGCCTGAACCAGCAGGGTTCAAGAGGTAAAAAGGTAGCAACACAGATCAGCTTCTAGAGGGTGTCGAGAAGAGCACCCAAAGTAAGGTAAACACATACCCAAGGCTCTCCCTCCCGGGGCCAGCTGCACGAAATGGGGACTCATTGACAGCGAGATCAGGAACAGGTAACCCACCAATACTTTTTTTAAAAATAAAATAAAGGAAAAGGAAAAAAAGAAAGCACTAAATGAAGATATGTGCTTTACCTTAAGGACTTTCATGTCAATCTAGTAGTGCTAAGCATATTAAATAATTACAAATTATTTTTCAAAATGTGATTTTTTTATCCCACAGGATAAATTTTTTAATTTTTATATTTCAATTGCAGTTTACATTCAGTATTATTTTGTATTAGTTTCAGGTGTAAAGCACAATGGTTAGGCCACTATAAACCTTGCAGCGTTCTCCCCCCCCCCCCCACATTATCTTCAGTACCCACCTGGCACCGCACGTAGTTATTACACTATTATTGACTGTATTCCCTGCGCTGCAGTTTACATCCCTGGGACTGCAGAGGAGGGTATTATGCTCAGTGAAATAAGTCGGAGAAAGGCAAACACCATATGATTTCACATGTATGTGGAATCTAAAGAACGAAATAAATGAACAAACAAAATAAAAAGAGACTCAGGTACAGAGAACAGACAGAGGGTTGCCAGAGGGGAAGGGGGTTTGTGGGGCTGGACAAAAAAGGTAAAGGGATTAAGAACCATAAAACGTAATTTCTTAAGGAGTTGATTTACAGCGCTCTAGTTTGAATTCAGAATGATTTCACAACCCTACTTCTCCCTTTTCCAGCCTTTCTTTTCCCTCTCTCCTTTCTCCCTCTTTTCTTCCCTGCTTCACTTCCTGTCCTCTCTCCTCTCTCTCTCTTATTTGCCTTTTTTTGCCTTTTTTCTAGAGAGACTATTATTTAAAACCCCAGAGCCCGAGAAAAATCATGTTGCCCACTTCTGAAGGTAGAGCTAAATTACTGCACCCTCAGGAAATCTCACACTAATCTTATAAGATTTTATAAGATCATGCTTCATTTTTTCCTGTGGCTGAAGTTATTGCTAAGATAATGTATTTATAAACTCTTTAAGTAACACACCACTGCCAAAAATAGTATTATAGTATTATCATATGTCCAAAAGCTGATTTTAATCATCTCTTTAATCTTCAAAAGATAACTTATTCCATGGAGAAGACTGGGATTTTCTTCAAAGTCAGGGAAAAAAAATCTTTTCTGGTGAATTGAAGTAGCTAAGATTAAAGAAAAAGAAATCTCTTATGGGAGTTTTAGAAAGCTATATAAAATACCAAACCCTCAAAGAAGTAAAAATAAAGTTGGAAACCTAAGAAGTCTAGCTATCATAGAATCATATATAGAACATTAAGAAATTAGTATCTTGAAGTTACTCAGTTCTTTAAAAGAAAGTACTATTTTAAGGCTATTACATCATGATATATTACAAAATCTAAAAACTCAAACCACATTAATTGATCTGAATAAAGTGATAAAAATATAAAAACAATCACATAGCACTTATTATACATATTATTTTTAAGCATAATAAAAACAACAAAATTACTATCTTTTGCCGACTTCAAATACAAAAATTTCCAGGAGGAACAGAACAGATTGGTAAAGTGCAGAGCAACCCTTGAAACTTGCATTCTTTCTTCATGAGGTGATGTTTCTCAGTAACCCCAAACAAAAACTGACACGCAAGAAAAGAGCTTTTGCCATGGAAAAGTCATACCACACCCAGTCTAACTTCATTTTATCACAAAACAAATATACTTATCTACAGCCAGTCCTTTTATTATTCATTTTTTATGCTCTTAAACTCTCAAAATCCTGGGGTTTTCCAGTCAAGAATAAAAATTAGCAAGGTTGACTATATTTCACAAAAGAATACAACAGTCATTCCCTATTTTCTGGGATCTGTTAGTATTTTCAGTCTTGGCTCACTCAGAGCATGTACACACATGCTTTCCAATTAGAAGGAAAGAAAAAAGAAGGAACAATTTTTCTGCAAGTAGTTTATAACTAGGTATCTATTAGATCCACTCAGGTCAGGTATGTGGAAGATTGCAGGTTAGGAAAGGAAGCATTAGTACAAATTGACTGCCATCAAGACCATTCACTCTTGGCATAGAGAACGAATTGCTTGTGCTCTTTTCATTTGTGAAGAGGTCAAGCTAAAGTTCCCTTCTGTGAGAACGGGTAATGAAACAACTGGCAAACTGCACTATGACTCTGGGACATACTGTAAGGTGCTGGTGTCTCCTAGTCTTCTGAGCACAGAAACAATGTGAGCTATATTAGAAGAGTTTTAAAACATTAAATTACTACAACAGCTGAGAAGAAGAGAATAGTTCTACTGAAAGGAAATTAATGAACAGTGTCATAATGGACAGTTGGTGTCAATTCCTAGAGGATTTGGAAGTAAGAAGTGGAGTAAGGAAACCATGTTAATAGAGCTCTTGTTTGTATGAAAAGAACATCGTACCTCACAAATATCCATCATGGGAGTCATGCTTGTCACAATCTGCATTAGTCTGTGTTTAACAGAAAAGAATACTTATTATGGGCTATGTAAGCACCTTATTTTCTTGATCTCCAACAGCATATGATCATCTGTTTTCTCGGACACAAATTTAGAAAGAAATTCTATCCTCAGCCAATGTGGTAATTCTTGGACCAAAATGTACCCACTGTTTTGAGAAAGAAAAGACTCTTTCAAGCCCAGGCTATTTCTGAGTGAGTTTTAAAAGTATTTGGAACTAAAATGTTTTAAATTCCAGCCTTTTTTTAGTAGTAACTCCATTGAAAACTGTCTTCTCTACTGTCAATTAATAAATGAATAGTAATAAAAGTTAACAAACATTTTCCTCTTGATAATTAAATATGACTAGAAGATAGCTAATATTGATTGAAAGGTTGTAGTATATTCCTTCTCTTAGGAAGACATTATATCAGGGATTTCTTAACAAAAGCTTTCTTTATGAAATGATCTATGTGTAATTTACATCAGTAAACCAAATATGTCAAAAACAATTATATTGAAATTTAATTTGTTTCAGCACATGGAAATTACTGGGAGACTTAAAATTTTTCTTCCAAAAGGTCCTGAAATATCCTTTTTCTCATGTGCTCTTTTACAGATATTGATTAAGATCAGTATTTGTTTTCTTTTTCTCTTTATTTCATTGACCACATTTGCATTTAGGCATTTGAATAATTTCAAAGAAGCTACTCTAAAAATATGTGATACCCAATTAGAAGAGACTCTCCTACTCTTGATCCACAATAGATACCACTACAAACCTTTACAAAGACTAATAGAAGTGTGCAATTTTATAAGCTAAAATTGTCTAATCATTCTCCTCTACTTATAAGCTTAAGCCCAATAGTTGCAATATTTATACTTTTATGTCTGTCCTACTAGTCCTTCTCATCACTGTTTGGTCATGTCCTATCCTTCAGGTACATCTCCTGTCAAGATCCTGCCATCTTTCTAGGTCTTTTAAAAAAAAATCCTAACTTCCCATGAGATTTTCTATTCATTCAAGTAACTATTCACTCATGCCATATTCCCTACATTATTCATTTTGAAAGTTCACTGTACTGTTATGTAACTGCTTCAGAATGTACATTTCATATCTCTAGATTGTAAACTCTGTGAAGGCAAGTAATATGTTGATCTTTCTAAATTTAAAATAAAGTTTTACACAAAATAAAAGCATATTAAGGAACAAATAAAAAAAGAGAATGAGAATAAAAAGACAATTCTAAAACCTTTGAGATGGGGGAAGAACAAAGGGGTTTTATGAGAACTCTCTGAACTTTTTGCTCCATTCTTCTGTAAACCTAAAACTGCTCTTTTATTTATTATTTTTTTATTTCTTAATTAAATTAATAGTGGCAATGATGATTAGTAAGATTATATAGGTTTCAAGAGTACAATTTTATGATACATCCTTTGTATATTACATTGTGTGCCCACCACCCAAAGTCAAATTACCTTCTATCACCATATATTTGACCCTTTACTACCCTCTCACCCCCATTCCTTTTGGTATCCACCATAACATTGTCTGTGTCTCTGAGTAAAACTGCTCCTTAGAAAAAAGTCATTAATTTAAAAAAAACATTTTAGATGATGTACTTTTTCAAGAGAAAGTTTATCTTGAAATTAAAATACATATATAATGAATACAAAATACAGATGTGATAAAATAAATTTGGACCTATCACTCAAGAGTTAACCATATCAATACTTGTAACATAACATGAAATCTAAAAATCCAAGAAGGATTATAGTAAGGGATAACTTTTTTTCAGTAAGTACATAAATTACATGTGGAATATAGGTTAGGGTTTGGGGATTATAAATAAGTAAAATATCAACTTTCAAAAATAAGCAAAGAACAAAGGATGGACAGAGGCAAATAGAAATTAGAGAAAATTAAACCTTATAGAGACAGACTTATGTTAAATAATTCAAACAAATTAGTTAAAAAACTAAAAATCAAGAAATAACAGTTCCAGTTGACAAGCGTATAAAAATATATATTTTCTGTTATTTAAGATTACTCAATTCTACAATACAGAATAGAGGAAGAAACAAGGAGAATATATGAAACTAAATATAAAAGTAAATGACTTAGAAAACATTAGATGTAGATAAAGTAGGTGTGGCTTATGCTTGTCAACACAAGAAGGGATGGATTAAGAATCAAATCCCCTAATCATCTGAGACACACAATATTCAGGTTTTTATATTAACCACTCATTGGTGAAATCCATATTAGACTATATAAATTAAAGCCATGGCTGCCCAATAGATTATAGGTGAGTTATAGCCTTTGAGCAAAGATGTGTCATTAGAGATCAAAGCTAGGCTCATCCACACCCTCTTATTCCCAATTACTATGTCTGGATGTGAAAGTTGTGAAGAAGGCTGATAGGCAGGAAAAACTATTTCATCTGAAATATAGTGTTAGAAGAAGGTTCTGCAGATAAACTGGACCACGAGAAAGACAAACAGGTCCGTATTAGAGCAAATTAAACCTGAAACATGGCTGGAAGGCAAAATTAACAAAACAAAAGCTGTCCTATGTTGGCACATCATCAGAAGGCAGGGTTCTTAGAAAAGACAATAATTCTAGGAAAAATGGAAGGCAGCAGGAAAAGAGGAAGACCAAATATGAAATGGGTTGATTCCATAAAAGGAAACATAGAAATGAGTCAAAAGGAGCTGGGTAGGAGTGCTGAGAACTGAACATTGTGGACATCAGTCATTCATAGACTAGCCAGGAGTCAGAGCCTACTCAATGGCACATAGCACATAGCTTTTGACTAGTTGTCTAGAGTATTTGTGTATTGGTTCTAGACACCTTCCATCTGTTGAAATTGTTCAATTCTAGTCCTTGTAACTACTGTAAGTGGCTTAATAGACTTAAAGAGGAAGAGAGACAGATAAGACAGATAAGACAGATAAGTTATAGGAGCATTGTATAACTCAAGACTTGGATACTATGGTCTCTCTACCCAACTTTTGCCCTATCTTAATTATGCTAAATACTCCATCTTTTCCCCATTGCTTATTACTACATATTTTTAAATAATGAAATAGGCCATGTGTTTCAAGCATTTTGATTAGAGCATCAGTTTCGTGACTTCTGGGACAGTCTGCCTGTACATGGCAGTGTACATGGAAAATACCATTGCATCATTATTTCCCAGTGGGCCAGTATTCAGGTCCAAACCTCAGCCAATAGCTATCAACACCGCCTCTTTTAGCCACTCTACTAGGAAAAAAAAAAAAAGCAGCTATCAATAGTGCTTCTTTTGGCCACTTGTAGAAAAATGTAAGTTACTCTGCAGGTGGGCAATAAGCACTCAAAGTTCTTCTAAATTAATTTGCCCTAGTTTTTGTTTGTTTTTTTATTTTTCATTGAAAACCATTCTTGTATTGGTCACTGTAAGGAGGCTCAGAATAAAAATCTTTTGACTATATAAATCACTGCTACCAGAGCCAGGATTTAGTTTATAAGCATGTGATCTTGGGCAAGTAGATTAATTTCTCTTTGTTTTGTTTTTTTCTCTTTTTAAAATGAAGATAATTATATAACATAGTTCATAAAGTATATGGTAATTAGATCACTTATTTAAAGCATTTCAACACAGAGCCTGCTACTTTTTCTTAGAGTTAAATAATGACTACAAGTTTACAAAATAAGACATTTATATATTTTTTGTTCTATAGTCTAAAAGCACCAATTGACAACCATCTTAAATCATAATAGCTTACATACAGGAAAATAAAAATCTATTTACATAGTTTAATAAAACAGTCATTATTATATTGTAAAATTACATAGCAAGTTTTACCAATCACATCTAACCCAGATCATGAAATCAGGGAAGATACAACTTAATATGATTAATTTTTATGTGACTACTGATATATTAAACATATAATGCATCTACTTTAAAAGCTCCAGATTATATATAATTTAAACATATTATAACTTTTAGTATTTTTCTATCATTTGGTATTCTCAAAACTAACATGTATTGTCTGAAGACAAAAATGTCTAACCTGGAAAAGTGTAAAATGTGTGTGTATGTCCGATTAAACAACTTTTTTCCCAAACTGGTAGAAAAACTATGAAATAAATGTGTTTGTACAGTGGTGACTATTTGTCACAGTAGGCTCTGACATAGGCATTAAAGCACCAACTATTTTAGACAATATGTCATAACCAGCCAGTTGGAGGGCAGTAACAAAATACTTGGCTAACCATTCTATACTAGAAACATCTGTTTAGCTTAGCAAGCTAGTAACACCAGACACTACTATAATTTGGATCACAATTCATTTAGTTTTTAAAAGATGTAAACAATATTAAAAAATCATTTTATATATCTTAGACATTTTAAATATTAGTTGTATATAACATGGAAAAATGTTTATGTAATATTTTAACTGACAGGGCCAATATATACATAATATTGTATTATACTTATATTTTTAAAATCATATAATATAAAATTTATATTATTTATTATATTATATTATATTAAATTTTTGTTCATATAGAAAACAAAAAATAAACTACTATTTATTGAGGCAACAAGTAAGATAGATTATTTTTTTCTTCAATCAGAAGTTAAATTATATAATATTTATTTGTGTAGAGTATTTAGTATGTGCTACACACTGCCTATTGTGTTTCATTGACATTGTTTTAAGCTTTAAAACAGCCTTATAAGGTAATGTTATTTCCACTTTATGGACTAGTTAATTGAGACTTAGAGAAGTTATATAACTTGTCCAAGAACAAATATTAGCAAGTGGCAGAACTGGACCTAAAATTTGACTCTAACATCAAATCCTGCATTTGGGATCACCGTAATTTTTGTAAAGAAAAAGTTGACTTCATATACCCTGCACTCTCTTCATTGTTCTTATTTGTGAATAGCATCTACCTTATATTTCTGGGAAGCAGGGTAACCAGCACATTTTGATTTGTCTGGGCTTTTCTCAGTTTTTGAGCACAAGTTGAACCTCCTGGGTACCCTAGGCAAACCTATGCCAGTTGGTAACCCACCTAGAAGCAAAATTTAACCTGGAAATATCTACCGGTTAACAAATTTTACTCTCAAAATTCATAAATTTGAGTGAAAAATGGGGAAGAATGAGGAATTATGAAGAGGCCCTCATTTTTTAAGCACCAAGCAATGTCTTGCTGGTAGAGGAGCATGCACTGTCCCTTTCCCTGAAAATTATGTTTAGAAACTACGAAATGAGCAGCAGCCTCCTAAAGTAGCATTTTGCAACTAGTACATGAACAGAACACAGGGTTTTGTGAAAGTATTGTTCTAGTCCCAAATGGAACGGAATTAGGGGGTGAGAGCAGAGAGCAAAAAATACATTTCTTGGTAGACCTGAAGAGGAGCTTCCCTGGTTCCTCCTTGGCCCATCATAGACTCATTTCTTTGGGATGGTTTTAAAAGGGCTCCTGCACAGCAGCCTCATTTCTCTGCATAACTCCTCAGGGCCACCAGCTGGAGATTGCAAAGGATTTGCCTTTAAAATCTTTCCTTTTCCTCTGCTTGGTTCGTGCCCCTCCCCCAGCTCCACTGAAGTGACTGGAATGTTCTGTCGGTTTAAGTGCATATCTATTTTTACCACAGTGTTTGGGAATCTCTGGGCACAAACCGTCTGCAGATTAGGTAAATTACAGGTGCATAGGTTCATGTTACTCATTTAGCCGCCACAAGTTCAAAGCATCAATCTGATTCTCCTGAATTTTTCCTTTTAGTCTGCAGGCCCTTCTTTCACCTTCTGTCCTTTAGGGCCACTCACTGGCCTTACTGGTTGATCCTTTTTCTACCTGCAGAATTGATAAGGTTATGGCCATTTCCTTTTCCTCCTCTCCCCAAAGCCTTCTTTTTCTTTCTTCTCTCTCTTTTCACAACTGAAAAATTATCACCATTTTTCTGTCTAGCCCTCAGTACTACTTTCTTAGCTACCCCTGAAACTGGTTTCTTTGAAGACAACTGTGCAATGATATAGTCATATCCCTTAGATAGAACCCACCAAAATCTCTTTGCCGGTTTCTGACAAACCCTCATCTGTGTCTATTTCTTCCCTGAGCTTCCATATCACTCTCACTGTCTCAGTCCACAGGTTTGCTAAGAAGGTTCCACTTTGCTAGCCAAAAATACAAACCTAACATCCCAGGAACTTTTGTCCTCTTTTCCAAGCTTCCCATTCATGAGAAACTCTTTATTGTTAATAGTCATATAAAACCACATTCTTTTCCTCCTAAGTTCCCAGCTTAGTTACTTCTTTGTGTGGTTTTTAAATTAGTGTCTGTCCCCCAGTAAAATGAAAATTTGTTGAGGGCGTAAATACACAAAACACTATGATTTAAGTCACTGTTTGTGCTTCCATTATACCATTAACACAAATAACTAAATATATTTTAAATACATGTCTCATCAGATCTAGTTTTTCAGTTAATTCATTATAGCTATTTCAATTAGATGCCTTATGAATTGAATCGGGGAAGGACGAGAATTAACGTTTGTTGAGTTATTCCATGTCAAGAACTCAACATATATTATTTCACTTTATGCTAACAACAAGCCAATGATGTATGGATTATATACATACATTGCTCTTTTGTGCCATTTGACCTCTTATAAAGAGGCTTGGCACATATAATTAAGAATGGCTAGAACTTCAACTCTGTCTTACTCCAAAGCTCTGCTTTTCCATCACATACACCACTTTCCCAAAGGCTCAGAGCTAAAATCCACCACTGACTAAAAGAGCCGTAATCCTTTCCCTCCCACTCCTTCTCAAGGAGAGAAACGGGCATATTCAAACTTTTGTGGAGATGATGGAAAGAAAATGAATTTAGAAATAACTAAGTATGAAGTAAGACCAATGGGGTGAGAAACTATTTGAAAACTCAATTCAATCACTCACCTAATTTCAGATTTTGTTATGAATGAACTCTAGGCCCCCAAAGTTGATTTATTGATGGTTAATATTATTATTCTCTCATTATGATCTGCTTTTCCCATAATTCTTAAAAATGTATTTGCATTATTTAAAGCCTCCAGGATTTCAGTTCACATGAACCCATTTTGACCACTTGTCAAGGTCTGTGGCTTGCAGGTCCCACCGAGAAATAATGTGATTACAGTTACAGGCATCTCACATTTTACAAACAGTTTGAGTTCCAAGAGTTCACTAGTTTGTTGTTTGGAATCATTGCATATTTTCCTGTTACCTAATCTCATAAAGGATGGTTATTTCCCAAGCCGCATTTCCTTTTTTCTCTTCTCCCATTTCTACCCTAAGATAACAACAGAGAGAAATGTCTTTTTAGACCAAAATGAACAACAACACTAATTTTACTCGTCTAAATTCTACAGAATGTTGGGAAGAGGCTTTGCAATTTAATAAGAAATGAAAATACAACAGTGCAGGTTGAATACACACAAAGAAATGTCACCTCAGCCTGAAAGGTTACTCTTAATCAGCACCTCAGAGATTTTCCTACTTTTTTCTACTCTTTCTACATATTGAACTTACTGTTTCTCCAGCGGTCTCTCTTGAATGAGGGGGAAATAAAGGAGAAAGAACACACTTTCCTATTCTCTAGCAGTTCATAATGGGCAGATTCTCTCATCTATCTGACATGTCTTACAGTCAGTGGTGAGTCTAAAAATGGTAACACCTTACATGTTGCTTCTATTATCCATGCAACAAAATTCCTTAGTAGCAAAAGTTTTCCTATCTCATTTTTCTATATATTAACTGCATTAATAAAAGTACTTTCATAGAGTATGCAACATTTTTGAAGTGATCTCACATTTTTAAAAACTTTATATTCATTATGGCCTTTGAGAGTATGATGTCTTTCACCATTGTATCAATTTTGTGGATTAAAAAAACTGAGAATTTGAGATAGTGGATTGACGAAATTCTCACAGGCCTTGAAAGATTAAAATCCAGGCTGTCCATATCCCGGTTCTAGGGCTACTTCTCCCCCACCCCACTCTGTTTAATATCTTAGTCAATTGCACTCACCCTTTTAGACTCAGACTCCATGAGGAAAGGGATCATTTTTCACTGCTTTTTCCTTAACATCCAGGACACTATCTGGCACTTAGTAGGTACCCCAAAAATGTTGAATTTTAGTTATTATTGTATTAGTCATCTTTGCAAATATGGTATAATTGTATTGGTTAAATAAGACTTTCCAAGTTATCCTCACATTATGACATGCACCATAGAGTGTGGTTAAGAACACAGGGTAACTTTCCATAATGGATGTTAGACAACGCTCTGCATTGTTGGAGCCTCCAACCTGCTGTCTTAACTGCTGGCATCACTGCAGCCAGCGGACTGGTGAAAATAGGAAAAAATCTCACAAACGAAATATTGGCTTCCTACTATGCTTCCGAATGCTTCCTACTTTTCCAAAAACCTAAAAATGATTCTCGAACTTGATTAAGAATTACTCAGCTACACAACAAACACATAAAAACAGCCCCAAATGTCAGTTTAACACCTCACTTCTGTGGCTCAATTGAAAGAGACTGCGGGTCCTGGTCAGGTAGCTCAGTTTGTTAGAGTGTTGTCCAGATACCCCAAGGCTGCAAGTTCAATCCCCAGTCAGGGACAATGAATGCACAGATAAGTAATACAACAAATCTTTCTCTCTCTCTCCCCCTCTCTCTCTCTAAAAATCAACAATATAAAAATAATAATGGGACTATGAAGAATTATTTTCTAGAATCAGCAACTTGAGTTGAAAATGTAGCTCATTCCTACATTCTCTGACCATTGATTCTTGGCATTGTAGTCACTCTCCTCATCTAAAAAATGAAGTTATATCGAGCATATCGAGGTGGAATAAAAACACCTTTGGATTCTATCTAGTTTTTCTGACTATAAAGGCCAAAACCAAAGTTGACTGCCATTCCAAAGCCCACTTATTGGTAGAGTGGGTTCTTCCAGAACTCTAGGAGAAAAAAGGAAAGGAAAATAAAAGGAACAAAAAGAAAAGAGAAAAATAAATGAAAGGAACAAAAAGACAAAAGAGAAATGAAAGAAAAGAATACAATAAAGAAAGGGAAAAAAAGAAAAGAGCAGAAAAGCCTCTTCAATTGCTGTGCTTTATTTCCCTCATAAGACATGGTCTTAGCCCTGACATAGCCTTATGCACTAGCATTCATCAAGCAGTTAATATAGGCTATATGTCTCACATGCATATCATTTGATCAAATCATCACCAAAGTTCTGTTAGGCAACTGCTATTATCTTGAAGAAACTGAGATCTAGTGCTTACCTGTGCACACATAAATAGAAATGAACTGAGCCAGGACTCAAAGGACTCTAGGGCCCTTGCCCTTCATCCCTATATTGTATCAGCTCCCCAACCACCATACTTGTGTGTCTTGGACCATAAGGAAACTCTAATTAAAAATTCTATTTTCTGGCTTGTGCCTCAGTTGCTAATTTTTTCATCTGAATCCAATGAAACATCTAATCTGGAGTCAGTGGACAATGAGTACACCAATGAGAAAGCTGTGAGCACAGGGCGTAGAACAGGAGCCATAACAGAGGCACGTTGGAGTGGGGGCCACAGTGAATCCTGAAACATCATCTAGCTTTGGTGTGAGTTTTGTTTCCACCAAAAGCTACTCATAAGCAGAAGCTATTACATGTATTGCATTCACACCCTCTGTACCCCCGCTCCCTTACCTCATAGGTACTAGTATTCCACCATACAGGGACACAGAATTCAGATTCTGATTGCCACCCCTCAAAAAAAAAATAGCAGTTGGAGTAATCTGAGCACCCTCCAGCCACCCTCTTCAGCTCCCAAATCATCTTACAGCCTTATTAAAAGAGAGGAAAGAGATTTACCTGCTGCTACTGAGGCTGAAGCCTGAAAGTCATGTAAAACCTTTGAAGGACTGTAATGGTTTTAATCACAGGAATAGCATCTTTTTGACAGACAGGAGAGAAAAGAACTGAACCACTCTGCAAATATTAACCGGGCTATTTTGGAGCAATGGCTATTGCCTTTGAAATCTCTCATCATGGGTCTATACTTAGAACTCAGATGAGCCTGGGGGAGGGGACTGGGCCATGTTAATCCCCAGTTGTTTTGAAGTTGTCCTGTAAGCAGGTTACCATTTAAACTGTCCCTAATGGAAACATCCAGCGCTCTATTTAAATTGTGGTATTCTCTCTGTGTATTTTGTTTTAACCTATTCTGCATATAGAGTGTCACATCATTCTGGAGGTGACACCTCTCAGTTTTCTTTCACACTAACTGTTCTAGAGAGCACTGGCTGCAACCACATCGGGAGGCTGATGCTCCATGACAGCTAAAAGTTGGATTGAGTTTCAGGAGCTACTATATATAAAGCTGGGGCGACTTATGTCACCGCACTAATTAAATGCCATCTGGGTGGTTCCTCTGGGTTTTTGAGCCCATCACCCAGCTCAGACGGAGTCAGAGGCCAAGGAGGAGAACATGATGATGGACCTTTTTGAAACTGGCTCCTATTTCTTTTACTTGGACGGGGAAAATGTTACCCTACAGCCATTAGAAGTGGCAGAGGGCTCTCCTTTGTACCCAGGGAGTGATGGTACCCTATCCCCCTGCCAGGACCAAATGCCCCCAGAAGCCGGGAGCGACAGCAGCGGAGAGGAACATGTCCTGGCGCCCCCAGGCCTACAGCCTCCCCACTGTCCCGGCCAATGTCTGATCTGGGCTTGTAAGACCTGCAAGAGAAAATCTGCCCCCACCGACAGACGGAAAGCCGCCACCCTGCGCGAGAGGAGACGGCTAAAGAAAATCAACGAGGCCTTCGAGGCGCTCAAGCGGCGGACTGTGGCCAACCCCAACCAGAGGCTGCCCAAGGTGGAGATTCTGCGGAGCGCCATCAACTACATTGAGCGGCTGCAGGACCTGCTGCACCGGCTGGATCAGCAGGAGAAAATGCAGGAGCTAGGGGTAGACCCCTTCAACTACAGACCCAAGCAAGAGAATGTAAGCCCAGATGCTGCCCGGGCAGGGGAATGCAAAGTCTGATTAGACGCTTTCCTTGGGGCTTTAACATCCAGCTGGTTGGTCTCCTTTATCCCGTCCCCCTTCCTCGTCCGCCCCTCCCGCTCCCTGTCTAATGAACCCCCAGTGACCCATGGACACCGGGTGCCTGTAATAGGCAGGAAATGCGCACGCGGCCCGAGGAAACAAGGGAGACATCCCAAAAAAGGCACCCCTTACCCCCGGAACTCATGTTTCTTTCCTAATCTACCGCCTTGGTTTTCCTCCAGCTTGAGGGTGCGGATTTCCTGCGCACCTGCAGCTCCCAGTGGCCAAGTGTTTCGGATCATTCCAGGGGGCTCGTAATAACTGCAAAGGAAGGTAAAGTAAAAGTGAGGGCTCTGGGCTCTACTAGGGAGCACCCCGGGAGGGGGCTGGTTGCTTGCTCCGGGCGGAAAAGGCTCAGAGCCAGAACAGGAACGCGCCCAGGAAAAAGTGCCCTCTTTTCGCGCGCGGACACCCTGTGCTCCTCAGTTGCCTAAGAGGCCTCGAGTAGGGCGCACAGCTGCCTCCTCTGCCTTCCTTGGGTGCTATGTTTGTGTGTTTTCTGCGTTCAGGAGGGGCAAGCATTGATTCGTCGGCCTCGAGCAGCCTTCGGTGCCTTTCTTCCATCGTGGACAGTATTTCCTCGGAGGAGCGCAAACTCCCCTGCGTGGAAGAGGTGGTGGAGAAGTAACTCGAGATGATGTTCGTTCTGGATGTTCAGCGCAGCAGGAAGATCCCACCCTCCCTCCTTCGCCTAATCCTTTGGATTAGGTCACGTTACATTAATGTTTAGGAACCCAGACCCAGGAGTTTATGAAAGGGAAGGAGAGAGTCACAAAAAAACTTCTCGGAAACTGTTGTGTAGGCTCAGATGTAAAAGCCTTTTGGCTTTAGGCTTTAATTTTCTTGGGACAGCGAGTGGTTTAGGTCTAGCAGCCTTACTTTGTTTTCTGTTTGGTTGGTTTTGTACTATATTTACTTTTATCACGGTGTTTCTTTGTGCCATGATCAAAAGTTCATTCCTGTCTAAAACAAAGTGGGAACGTTTAATATAACTGTTAGTAGCATTGAATGTATTTTTGTAAATAATCTTAGTACTTTCATTTTATATGTAAACCTAAGAAATATATTTTAACTGTAAAGTGACAGACTTATTGTATATACAATGTGAGAGGATCCTGGTATTGTAATACTAAAAAATAAATTTCTATATGAATAAAGTTGGTCCTATTTTGATTCAGATGAAAAAATATGTTTGAGGCATGTGTACATTAAGAGAGCCATATTTTAATTTAGACATCACACAAGCCCATTTATTTGGGTTTTTCTTAAAGGCCAGTTTGAAGGAAGAGTGGGCAGTTTCCCGTATGTCTGAGTTACACTGTTCACTTTTCTATAAGTGAAGAATATCCAAGAGAAAAAAATGTCCTCTTTCCTTGTATCAGCATACTTTCTCTTTCTATTTTATACCTGGAGCTCTGGGTGAGATTTGTTCACCCAAAGTTAACAACTGAATTTTCAATCCAGTAAAATCTCATTGTTGCAAGAAATTGCCACACAAAAACACTTCGTTTATTTTTCTAAAAGATCTTCAGCTAATTTTTCCCAAATTACTTTGCCTCTTTGACTTTCCAGGCCCAGACCTCGATGAAAAAGCATTCATGTGGGGTCCCCAGGAGCCGCACTGGCCTCCCAGCCAGGCCTCTGGGCCCCTGCCCAGTTTTCTTGAACTAGACTGATGGCTGGAAGACTGGAATATTAAGGCCTCTGTGGCCTGGGTTAGTTTTCCAAATAGAAAGATAAAAGAAGGGGACAATCTGTCTGTTGAGGTGGGTGGGTTTCTTGGGAGGAAAGGTTGCCTCAAGAGAGGGAAGGGTTAAATGGTTGAGGGCAAAGGACAACAACAACACACATGAAACCTCTTAGCTGGGCCAAATAGCAAAGCCCCAGAGAGCCTGAAGCCCCAGGAGCTCCTCAGGGTGAGGATTTTACAACGTGTGCCAGGTTTGTTTATCCTGTAACCTCAGGAAGAAACGACCACCAAGAATCACAGTGGGAAGTAAAGCAGAGGAGAGGGGCAAGCCGTTCCTCTGGAATTACTTCTCTCTTGCATTCTGTAAACGGCCCCTTCCATTTGACTCCCCTATCCTCCCCCTGACACACACAAGCACTTCTACTTTCCCTCTTCCCCGCGCCCCCCTCCCCCCGCTAGTTCTCAGTTCAAAATGTGAATATCAAATCCAGTTGGGTATTTCTCAGCCCAGCCTTGCTTTCTAAATCTTCCATTCTGGACTTTCCTGTTGCCCGACACAGAAGTTCCAGATACCGCCACAGGCAGCGCCCCCTTCAGGCACGGAGCGGTACCTTGCCCCCTTTCCGTCTCAAAAGTCCTCTTCCGGAGGATGACCGTTAAATACTTGGTTTTCTGAGTGTCTGCATAAATCTAATTTCTCCTAAAACACTTTTAAAATGCATAACGTTTCACAGAGGAAACTAACATTGGCATGCAATCCCTCTCAAAGCGTTGAGAAGAGCAAATGGGACTGTTAGTGGATCCAAACATCTCCGTGGGCACTGACAACCCAGACTGAATCCAGGCTGCTGCTAGGTAGACGTGGACTGTAACTCCTCCTCTCTCCATCCATTTCTTCATTTATAAAATAATGGGGACGACAGAAACAGTGCTCAGCCCCCTGGGTTGTCAAGATTCCCTGAGATAACCCATGTAAACGGCTTAGCCAAAAGAGGGCACAAAATAAACACCCAATGTCAGCTCTCTTTATTTCTCATTAGTAAATATCAACTGACCATCAGGAGCCTTTTCTTCCATCAAATGCCACAGTTCCTTCAGAACCAGCCTTTGCAGGCTCTGGCTGGGAAAAGCATTAATAACAATGAGACCAGCAGTGACATGGGTGAGCCATTTGTAGCATTTTACATATTAACTCATATAATCCTACAACAGCCTGCAAGAAAAGCACCACTATTGTCACATCTAATATTTTAGAGAAAAGAAATCTTTGGGACAGAGAGGTTCTTGTAGGTATAAAGTCAGGATTCAGAACCAGGCAATATCAAAGGCTTCCAGCCTGTTCTCCCAGTCACCATGCACCCCCTCCCCCCAAAAAAGTCTTGGGAAATAAGAAGAAACATTTATTGTCTAGAATAATATGCTCTCTTTGACAATTATTTTCCAAAAGCTCTTAAGAGTGATTAGCTAGTAAACTTTACCTTAGAGCAGTAATTTAATTTAAAAATAAATGAGAAAGCATTTCAAATTATCCCATCAAAACATATGGGAATATGTCTGGGTGGTGTGTATGATGATTATCATGCTTATTAAGAATCTATGATTTTTTCCTGGAAATCAATAGAGGCTTTCCCTGAAATATGTGTATATACACACGCCTATAATTTTTAAAATCAGATTCATGTCACAGTGAAATCATATATTATAACTGAGTGAACTCAGTCAATTCACTTTATGATTGCACATATACTTATAAAATTTGTGTTTAACAGCTCAGTAGCAGAATGCTTTTATCAATTCATGGACTTTATTTGCCGATAGATCTGATTTAGCCTTTGCAAACGAAATCCTCTCTCTCTCCCCTAGCTGAGTAACTTGAGCAATTGTTTATAATAGGTTTGCCTATAGAATTCTATTCGTTAAATAGAGCAAATATTTCCCAAAGACTTCATGTGACCTCTATTGCTGTAGCTTACATGTTAGGCTTTCCAATGAAATCCATGGTGTGTTTGCAATTAAAATGTTTTTATTGGATATTAATGATGATAATCTTTACTAAGGCCAAAGCCAAAACAAACAAGGCCAGGGAAGCAAAAAAATCAAGATATAATAACTTGGTAAAGATAAGCAATTTGGGATTTAAACTGAGCCTCTTCCCAGAGGCGAGTATACAGTTATTGTATATGAAATAATGAGTGGTTTTCTTTTTTATATTACTATAGATATGATTTGTTAAACATGAAATGTCAGCTTTCTCTAACTTTAATCATGACACCTGAATCATTGAATTCCAAGCCTGAAAGTAGTGAAAATCCACTTATGTCTAATATAAACTTTTTTGGGGGGAGAAGGGGGCTCTTTCATGTGTTTGAGGTTGGGAGCATGGTGCTGAAATTCAGTGTCCCCATCTACTCTTGAGATGACCAGAGAAGTCTTGGGTTACTACGGTAACTTCTAGTCTTAAGATATTTTTGACTTGAAGTTACAATGTATTTATTTGTGATTTTTCTTAATAATACTTATTTATTCATCTCAAAATCTTCCTCCCAGAACACTATTATCTGAAACAGTATTTTTTAAATATTTTAATTTAAACTTTGCATATCTCATTTCCTAATTTAGTGCATTAGTAAATTAGCAGTAACATGGTATTTCCTCAAAGAGACACATCATCAAGACATTTTCCAACAGACCCCTCCAGTGACTCCCTTAAACTCAAAAAAAGTGTTACAAAAGATGACCCTAGGTCCTAGATGTTTTATTCTGAAAAAAAGCAATTTTGTAAACCTAGTTCAGAGTCAGCCTATGAAGGGCTATGCCATGTTGCTGGAACAAAGTTAATGTTGCAAGAACTGGCTACTTTCTCTACTCTCAAGGCTGCTGAAAGTTCTTACTCAGGCCTTTGATCTCTCCTGGGAGTCTTCGAATTCAGGCAGAAGCCAATGTCTTCCTCAGCTGTCTTCTCCACAAATTCTTCCAGCAGCTTTGGCAGGTACTAATGTGTTTACTTAGGTGTGCCTGGTTCCCAGAGCTAATAACAGTTTGAAATTGTTTAGCACATTGTGAAGTCACATATAATAAGCAAAAATCTCTCGAACAACTCCCTTTGTCCAAGAGTTGATAAAGGTCTCGAGTAGAGACACAAGTGAATTGAAATGGACTTATCTTTCTAGGTATATTTGCTTCTTCAACTAAGGGAAGCATGCAGGATTCCTAAGGTAGGCCTGTTTTACTAGAAAAGGGACCTTTGAGCATCATTTTGCTGGTGTGATCTGTCCATCAACACTAGGATTGTTTCCATAATGCTTAAACTAAAATAGGTTCTCTTAAAAAAAGAAAAAAGGGAAAAAGCAGATTGATGATTACTTAAAGGTCTATGCAATTAAAATCTGCTTATAAGTCTGACTTGTAAGAAAATCAAACATGCATTTATTTTTTTGTAGAATGTAAATTTAAAAAATTAAATTATCTGACTACTTCACTGGAACCTTGGTGAACATTCATTTACAACACCAAGCCGTAGCTTGGTTTTCTTCCCTTCATCTGCCTGTTCTGAGTCTTTCTTAGCAGTTTTGGGACAGCATTTCTAACAACCTGCTTACATATTAAATACATGTGAGTTTTCTGAGTGTACGAGAAGTCCACTTCTCTGGAAAAATAGCAGAAAACAGATTGTATTTTTATTCTTTCCTGTGAGGAACAAAAGCCAGAATCTCATCTGATTCTGAGTAAAAGAGAGCAATCAGGTAACCAGCAGATCTTCTAAAGCTGATTCTTAATTTTTCCATACTTCTCTCTTCAACTTCCCCATTCAGGGGGGAAAAAAAATTGTTTCTCTGTATCGCTCACCCAATTTCCTATCTTCCTCTCACACTCTCTCCCCTCGGAAAAGAGCGGGGGACCCTCTTCTGAAATGGGGCACCCTAAGTATCTTTGAGGCGCTGCCTTCCTTTGTACACCGCCTCCCATTTTTTTTCTCTTTCTCCTCTCGCCCCCGACAGCGGTTTAAAAGTTTTGTCTCGGTTTTCGACTTTGGTGCTCCGAAATCCTATCTGCAGCACTCAAGTCCCAAGGTCCTCAACCCTGGTCCGTGTTTCCCCCAAAAGAGGTCCTATTAAGCCGCCCGGCGCTTGTGTTTCCTTGGCTTCTTTAGTTCCACTCGCCCGCGGCACTCTGGTAAATTTGTTTTGAGATCACCTTACCAAAGACAGCACTAACCTCTGAGAATTACCGTTACTCACAGAGCCTCCTGAGCGACAGCGTCTTCCCGGGACCCGGACCGCAGGAAAGACGTCCCCGACCCAGGTTTTGCGAGTTTCTGCTCCCCAGCGCAAAGCAGGAGCACTGTCCCCGAATGAAAGAAAAAGGAAACAAACAAAATTCTCATTTAAGAACGCAAGTTAGACAAAAGAATGCTTAGTTTCCAATACTTCGTGGCCTGGGCCAAATTACCTCCCCACCCGCTGAAGT